TCAAATTCGCAGTAATAGTCCGTAGATCTAGGAATAAATCTGATCTTTACATACATTGGCTCTTATGGGGTTTTCCGGCTTGCATTGCGTAGTTTCTGTAAAATCTGGAGAAAAATGACTTTTAGAATTCTGAAAATTGGCGGATATCTCTCCTAGCTCCTTAATCAGGGTATATGAGAGTTTAAATCAGGCAATAGTTTGTAGAGAAGACCATGAGATTCAATAAGGTATTCAACTCGATATTCTATGCGTGGTAACTTACAAGCAACATCAGGCGCTATGCTGAAGTATGTGAAGAGATTCACGAGTATAATTTAATTAGGTATTATGTGGGAATAATGAAATTCAGAATTTAGTCTTTATCCGTGAACCCCAATACAGAGTACATATAAGGAATTGTATTAGGCAATTATGTATAGAGAAGACTAAGAGATTCAATGAGATATTCAACTTTCGATGAATTGATGTTCTCTGGTAACTCACTAGCATCATCAGGCGCTATGAGGTTTGGGAAGAGATTCACGAGTATGATTTTGTTAGGTATTATGTGAGGATCATGGATTCAGAATTTGATAGTCTTCATCCGCGAACCCGAATACAGGGTGTGAAAGTTTTTATCAGGCCATAATGTGTAGAGAAGACTATGAAATTCAATTAGGTATTCAACTTTCGATGTCAATGATATTCTATGGTTACTCGAAAGCATTATCAGGCGTTATGAGAATGCGAGAAGATTCACGAGTATAATTTCATTAGGTATTATGTGCGAATAATGGATTCAGAATTTGATAGTTTTTATCGAGGTTTTTATCCGCAAACTCGAATATATATATAGAGTATGAGAGTTCATATTAAGCCATAAAAATGAATATGTGTGACTATAAGATTCTATCGAATGTTTGATGTCAATAATATATAACTCACATGCATCAGGCGGTATGAGGAATGGGAAGAGATTCATTTATTTAATTTTATTAGATATTATGTGGAAATAATGGATTCAGAATTGAATAGTCTTTATCCGCGAACCCGAATACACAGTATAAGAGTTCATATCAGGCAATAATGTGTAGATGAGACTATGAGATTCAATTAGGTATTCAACTCGATGTCAATGATATGGTATTGGGAAATTTGAACAGATTCATTAGAAAAATTTGATTTTGTTTTATGTGGGAATAATGGATTCAGAATTCAATAGTATTTTTCCGCGAACCAGGATACAGAGTATAATAGTTTATATCAGGAAGTAATGTGAATATGATGGGAATATGAGACTAATATTCAATTGGGTATTCAACGTTTTATGTCAATGATAATCTATGGTAACTGTCAAGCATCAGGCACTATGAGAAATGTGGAGAGATTCACCAGTATGATTTCATTAGATATTATGAGCAGATAAAAATATATATTCCAACCTACAATTTTCCATCTCATGGTGAACAATGGAGATATCTACAACTTTTCTAGGTGGAAGAAATAAACAAACGGCGACCCACACCAGCAGACTTCCATTTGTCATGTGAAATGGTTTCCTTATTTTTTTCTGGATAATGTCATTCCGGGCTGAAATTTAATATATTTGTTATGATTCGCTGGTTGTGAATATTATTGTGATTTCAAATTAAGAGCAGACAAAGTCGTTATCGAAGCAGACGTCGCAAAAATATGTCAAAAATGTCAACGCATTTTGCATTGAATATGATGGAGAATGGAATGATCTACAACTTTCCTCACAAGAAAAAATCATAAGATTACGGCACAGAACTGGCAGACGCCCATTTGTCATGTTAAATACCTCTAATAGTTTTTCGGAGAATATGTAATCTCAAGTTTAAACTTTAAACATTTAGTTTCTTTTTGTTTGGAAGTTTCACAATTATTTTCAAATTATAATGAAACTGTGGCATCAACTAGGAAGTCTCGATACGCATTTCTGCTAGACATGCTAGCAACACAAACGAACAGACCCACAGACCCACACCCTGACCACGATACCCTGACACACCCTCACGGACATACATGTGACACTGAATAAAACCTTGTGATTATAAAAATATTCGATTACAAAATCCCCCATGCATTTCAATTTTGCATGAATATAATCGGACCATAATCACAAAATTCATCCGCCATTTTGAAGCCGTCTTCTAGAATTTACCAATTTTGATAGGAGAATCATAATTTCCGAATTCCGACCCACAAAACCCCAGATACCAATTTTGAATAAAATCGGATCATAATTACGAAACTCTTTCGCCATATTGGATTCGCCATCTTGAATTTCCCTATTTTGACGAAGGAATATCCGACCTCGAAAGCTTCAACAATATTTTGAATAGAATCGGATCATAATTACATAAATAAATAAATAAATTTATTAAATCCTTCATGATCAAAAACATGATATAGGATACGTCAGACAACAGATGATACACACACAAACATTTTGAACATAAATTAGTAATTTTACAGTTATACACCAAAAGTAGAGATAAAATCATATACGTATTAATAAACAATACGGATCATAACGGGTGCCAGGATGAAGCCAAAAATATGAAACAAATGAATATCCATAAGGATTTGGTGGCATGATATGCATGCGCCATGCGCTATTATAGTAGTCATCAAAGACATGCGTTTCGGTGGACAATGACGTTTACTAGCCTTTCAATCAAAGCAGTATGTGTCTGATCGTATCTCATTTTTCCTTATGGATAGTCATTTGTCTTCAAAAATCGGCTTCATGTTTCGCTATGGAAACAGATAGAGATTATCCGTATTGATTATTAATACGTATATGGATAAAATGAATATAAACAAAATAAAGAAATTGGTCCTAATGCTCGTCCTAATGACTAAGATACTCATCAGTACTGTAGAAACAACCTTTAATCAAAAATTCTTTCAGTTCTGCCTTGAAAATATTTTCACTACTTCGGTTTTTTATATCATCCGGAAGATGATTGAACAATTTTGCTCCCACATATGACGGACAGTTCTCATAGAGACGAGTTGAATGTTTTTGGAGCCGTATCAGTTCACCATGCCTGGTAGGGTATGCATGAAAATCACAATTTTGGTTGTAGTCATGGATATTTGTTTTGAATAATAAAATGCATTTGTATATATAAATGCATGGAACGCACATGATTTTATTTCGAATGAAGTATTGTCTACATGATTCTCTGTAATTTAATCCAAATATCAATCGTATAACCCTTTTCTGAGAAATGAATATTTTATTTAGTTTTGTGCAACAGCCCCACACAGCAATATTGTAAGAAATATGGGAGTATACAATTGCAAAATATACATTCAAGAGCTGGGCCTTACTGAATGTTGACTCCAACTGTCTAATTGCATAATATCCAGTGTTTACTTTCTTGGTAACTTGATTCATAGTCGACTCACAGATCATGTTAATCTATGCTATCGATGTAGGTACCTAGAAATTTCACTTTATTTGATGACTCAATTGTCTCATCGTCTATTCTTACGTTGAAATTATCAATTTTTTTTGTAGCTTTGGAGTAGAACTGCATTAAAACTGTTTTTCTGGAATTCACTACCAAACAATTCTTCATACACCTTGTCACTCGATATTGGAGTAGGTACCTTGAATTTTCACAGAAGAATCATAACAGCCGACCCGAAAAACTCCCACATACCAATTTTGAATAGATTCGGATCATAATTTTATGATGCATTGTCACCTACCACTGGGACAGATGAAACTAAATGAAAGCTTGTACCTGCTTTGATAAAAATATCTGAAAACAGAGAAGAGGCATATCTGTATACACCATTGACATACCCGTGAAAAAAAAGTGAAAACAAAAAATCATAAAATCAAAATCAATGAATTCATCTTGATCCCAAAAAATATGTTGACTCTCATAGGATAGGAGCAATAGGTGAAATATGATTGAAAGAATTAATAAAATGGAAACCATACTATTCAAACATAAAGTGGAAACCAACATTCCCAATAGGAGGCGATAGTAATAGGCGAGGTAATAGGGATATAATATACAGTATGATGCAAATGTATGGAATAAATTCATTTCAAAACAAGACGACTTTCGAAAAAAAACCAAAGACTAGAGTTTAGAACTTCTTTTTCGACGTATTTTTTTAACTAGACGACCCTTCGATGTTCAATTCTCAGTAGCAGACCTCTGCAAGATTCAATTAATCACATGATAATCCATTTTAATTTCAATATTCTTATGCAACATTTTGACTGTTGAATAGACGATCGGTAGACCTTTCAATCAAGGTGTCACATGACCCCTATTTGTATTTGAAAAAATCGTCCATTACGTCTTTACTCCAACACCGGTGACGTAACATCTCTCATATGAATATCATGAGATGAGGCTTCAGAAATTAAAACTCACGTGTTTTTGGAATTTTTTCAAATGTGGCCCATTTCTGAAATAATGAATTTATTCCATACATTTGCATCATACTGTATATAATATTCACATGAAATAGAAACCAATCCGGTTCTGGATTCATAAAATGGGTGCGAATAAACCTATGTACACCGAGTCCACGATAATGATTATCATGGTGATCGTTTAATTTTTTTAGACGTTATTTAATGAGATATATATATAAGAAAACAATAAGGGACACTTTCTCGTGTCCACTTTTTGAGCTCTACAAAACAGTGTCGAGAGATATTCCGTCCGAAGTTTCATTTTTGACAAACCATCATCAACTTTACCCCATGATAGAAATCCTTATCTTGGACACCCCATATACACATGTAAACATTGACTATACTGTAGCAGTTTTTTTACGATTGCATTTATGCATAATAAATTGAACTAAAATGAATCCTCAAAGTTCCACTATTGTATGTTCACCTGCGTGATGTTCCCACTCTTCCACAATGTTACCTATTATTATATTGAAAAAAATTTGGCTCAGTCCCAGCTACCTACAAAAGGCCCAATGGCCTGTCGTTAGAATAGAATGAATATTATGATCGGTAGATGAGTATAGTTCTACACGTTATTATTATTTTTAACTCGGTTTGTGTAACTCATTTTAATCTGACCAATTTCGATTCCAGAGTAATAATTAACCTTTTATACATGCAAAATACATTTGTACCAGTTGATATGAGTGAAGAGAATTATTACATTTCCAAAAATGATAAATTCGGTCGGTAAGTTATTTTCCAGTAATTGTCTGTCCATTCAAAATCTGTATCTCGAACAAAACTGTATACCAAGTCCAATTTTTCCAAAATGAGGAATTTGTACCAAGTGACTCATCAGTTTGAGAGCTTAAAGTGCTAGGTAAATAATGCTTTGAGGACTACCACGAACCATCGTATCATGGCCAACCGGTGGATAAGACTTATTGAGCATAGTATCAGATTTCAAAACATTGATTGATGGCTAAAATGCTTTATTCATCTCGAAAAATGAGCCTGAGAGTAGTGAGAATCTCATAATATCCGACGTAATCGAAGATCTGGTGCGCCAGGAAGAAATACCGGATGTCAACGAATCTATTAGATAAGCCAAAACTTCTACAACATTTGGTGTATCAAATATATCAATCCAATATGGGTATATGGCTTTTTACGGATTTTATGGCGAATTCATTTTTGTAGAGTCACTTTTAATATTGCATCTAAGTGGCCATGGTCGGACGTAAACTCATTTAGGGACCACAGGTGATTCAGAAAATTATAATCACAACATTTTATTCATTAGTATGATAGATATGGAGAAGATACGTCCACAAACTCACATTTCCGTGTCTAACTATTATTTTTCAAATGGCAACCATTTTTTGACAAGCTCTTTTCGAAACATTGATTGTTTGACGAATCTAACGATACTAATTCATTTGCGATTGTGTTGAAAATAAGAACATTCATCTGATAATACTATGGAAAATACTGGATATTCATTTATTCACATTTTCCAAGTCATTTTTTCTGTACCTTCTTTGAGTAGCAAAACACTAATGTATTCGTATTACTTGTATTCAGACTGAAAAAAGCTTCCAGAATCTGTGAACGCACAATCAGGACACGTCATGACCGTTTTAAAAAAATGTATGGTTCAACGAGAAAGTATTGCTATGGACAAGTATTTTCAGTCTTACTGTCTCTGCAATACCCAGATAACACCGATCTACTTGAGGGATGACAGCCGACTATTCCCGTCGCCGAAGTGGCCACCAGCCGGCCCTAATACACATTACCAGCGTAAATTATTGACATACAAGTGCTACAACGGCAACAAATTTCAATGCACCATTGGTGGGAGCGCTCAGCCATCAACGTATATGCGCTTGCAAAACCGTAGTAAGGAGTATGAGTTTTTGAAGCACTCTCCATGTTTCTAACCGCGAACCACAACTTGTGCGCATTTTCAGTTTGTAATTGATGACCTCGGTGCAAGAACCGGGCAACTCCAATTTTTTAAAATGTTGGGGAATGAAAAAAAAAAACTCAATATTTTTGAGAAACTTGAAAGAAATTATGATTAATGGTATGAATCCTTTAGAGTTGCGTTATAGATGAGCTGTATTAACTTGGATACTAATTTTCATTTACATTGACATCGGACATTGATCTTAGATACAAAAACATGTATCTTCAGTTATTCAAAAAGCATTCTGTAGTCTCAAAATGATTTTCTCCAATAGAAAAATTTTGAATAAAACTGTAAAATACTTCTTTGTGACTCGTTAGTGTTATCAAAATTCCATCATGCCGACTGTATTTATGGTCCAGCCCTGCTCGAATCTGACAGCAGACGAATACAACTAATCCAAAACTCGTGTGTTCGTCTCATTTGTGGCCTGCGCAAACGTGATCATGTTTCAGCCTCTTTGAAAGAAATAGGTTGGTTGAACATGAAAGAGAGACGCTTCCTTCACAGATGTTCGTTTTATCATAAAATCATTACCACTAAGACACCTGCCTATGTATTCGATGAAATTCAGGCACGAAGTCAAGCACATAATGTTGATTTACGTCATAAACACAATCTAACCATTCCAAAACATAAAAGTTCATTATACAAATCTTCATTTTCTTACAATATTGCTAAAACTTACAATAACCTTCCCTTTGATGTGCGAAGAATTTACTCAGTGAGTCCTTTTAAGAAAAAAATTAAACTTGCAATTTTGGATGGATCCTTGTCAATTTGTTGAATCTTATTTTTGTATTGTTCATGCTTCGACATTATTATTATTATATATTATACTGCTAGTGTTTTTTGAATATTGTGTTAATTTATGTAGTATAGGTATTATATGTGTGTGTGTCTGTGTATGTATGTATAGGTGTGTATCTGTATGAATGCATCTGTATGTACATGTATGCGCACGCATGTTCATGGTTAAGTGGAAGAGCGCAACTACTTCAGGTGGGCAACCAACCTGAAGTAGAGCGAACTTTGCCTTTTGCTCTGCAGGGTATAGATATTGTTTTTTTTTGTCATTATTTCATCATTTTTGTATTGTATCTCTATAACCTGTACCAATAAAAGCGATATTATTATTATTTATTATTATTGTAGAAGCTAAAAAAGGAGTTTGAAAAAATGGAGTTTCCTGTTTCTTGCCCCAAAAAGACGAAATTCTGAAAATATAGTCAAACTCGTGTAATAATCTTGCTTTTTTATTGAAAATGAAATATATAACGAAAAATATTGTAAACAAATAGTATTTTGAACATAGGAAGAATCCCTGCGTCTTGATCTTCCTTAACATTGCCAGAATTTGGGTCCTTTTCGTCAACAGTTATAATATGTTCTTGGTACATATTCACACCCCGAATCTTGAAAGGGCTCACTTTCACTTTCCGACGACATTACATTATATTGCATGAAACAAATGATCAAACTAATCACGCCACACACGATGGAAGACGCGGGAAGGCTTGCCGCTAATAACCTCACTCCGACATCTCCCACTACACGCGTACATTTCGATGCTAAAATCGGGTAACTCCTGGAGTTGCCCGATTCTAGCACCGTCATGGCTTACATTTCAGTGCTAAAATCAGGTAGCTCCTGGAGTTGCCCGACTCTTGCAACTTGCAACTTAATAGGAAATTGTTGGATTCACTTGATTCTTGCACCAAAAGATGCGCAAGAAAAAAACTCTATATGTTAAATACAATAAGCCAATTTCGACAAAAAATGGAGCTGCCCGGTTCTTTCACCGAGGTCATCAATTCGCGGCCAGATACTTGGGGAGTGCTCGAAAAACTCATCCTCCTTGAAACGGATTTGCAAGCGCATATACGTTGGTGGCTGAGCGCTCCCACCAATGGTGTATTAAAATTTGTTACCGCTGTAGCACTTCTAAGTCATTAATTCAATCGCCGGTAATGTGTTCTATTGCCATAAGTGCCGCTTGACTGTCTAAAATGATGCGGATCTGCTCATTTTCCACGGCTCTCTTGTTATTTTGTTCCGCATATTGGAGAATGGGCTTATATCACAAAAATTTTTTATTTCATAATTCGATAGAACTCACCCAAACTAGCTCACCACCGCTCCCTACGTTTTATAAAAAATTATTGAAATCGACGATTTTTCGGACCTCTGAAAACGAGGCGACGATGTGACGTCAGAACCCTAATACTGAATCAAGAATATTTCAGACAGAGATGAATGATACATGATTTCTGACAGAGTGAATTAGCGCGAGATCACAGTTGAAAGAATTAATATATCAGTTGCCTCAGTCTCCGTCGGGCGTTTGGTATTTTCTTTTATCTATGGCGAGATGAGGTTTCTACGTCATAAGAGGGCCGGTTTCAGAAGGTACTATTATTTATGTCCAAAAATAAAACATTCCAGTTAATTTTTCGATCGAATTATGTCGTCAATCATTATTTATGTATAAAAGGATCATTATAAACATGGTTTGAGTAAAAAGTTCTACTAAGGTGTACACGCCCATTATTGTTGCGTACACCATTGCTTGAAAAACGGTGGCATACTTGCCCAATGAGTAGCATAATACCTTTTCACGAAGCTTTTTATATCCAGAGATACGGCAGTATCTTAAACCAAGTACTTATATGAATCGTTACATCCAAAAAGACGGGTTAGTTTGGCCCACTACGAAACCTCGAATTGAATTGAAACTTCGCACACTGATAGGACCGATGACAATAGTATTATTTGATAGTTTTATCCCATTTTCCTAACCAGGATCTTCAGGAATAGTGGTAGAGAAAGACAGCAGTTTCTTGCACCATCAAATATACTCGTATGGTATGAGAATAATAGTGTCTTCCACCAAGTACACGTATGAAATGAAGTTTCCGGGAAGAGAGCTTCATAAACGGCTACAATAGTATGTGGAAACCGAGGTGAAAACACAATATAGAAAACTTTACCACCTCAGCGTGTTTTTCAGTTTTTTGAACAACAATTAATTTGTAATCATATTATATAAGCCTTGTCAACAGCGACCTCTTCAGATCTATTGTGTTTTCAATGCAAGGGCTATACCTTGTTATCTCTTTTTTCCTAGGTTTATGGTGGCAAAGAAAAATATCAAAGCAGGAGAGCTGATTCTATCAGAACTGCCTATCATGGTAGGATCACCTATCGATGGGCCACTCATCTGTTTCAATTGCTGCAATTATGTGAAATTCATTGGATCTGCATTTTGCAAAGACTGCCATTCTGCAATTTTGTGTAGTTCGAAATGTACAGGTGAGAATATACTGATATACCAGATAGTATATTGAAATGAAGTAGGAGGAAGAAAATATCTCCAAGTCTTCTCCACTACTTTTAATAATAACAAAATGTTACAATTGGGGTGGAACTTGTTTCGGGTTTATCGTAAGGCCATTATCAGCCAGAAAGTTTGAAAAATCATGGATAGATAAGTTTTGTCACGATTTACAGATTCAACTGAATTAAGAATTAAACTGACAACCAAGCATTTAGTTGAATACCACGAAACCTATCTGCATTGTGTCCACTGTAAGAACTCACCACCCCTCTGTGAAATCCTTATTATCTGGTCGATTTCAAAACACTATTTTCTCAATATAGATATTTGAAATGTACATCTAAGAAAAAAAAGTAATTTCATTCTTGGACTGTTATCGTGGCGAACTACGTGCAACCCATATTTCAAAAAGTACTATTAGCGTTTTTTTTTTCACAAAAAATAATGATGGATTATGAATCAGGAAAACTCAACACATACTTGTACCGATTACGTGATCTGAGAATATAGTACTGTGGTATCTTTGGTAAGGAATAATGACAAATCATTATCGAGGACTACTTCAAATACTACTACTACAATGTGTCTGATGTTTTTATGATGATGAAAATGAGTTCAGGTATATTCAGAAAATCATCTTGATTCAGAATCCGTCATTATTTTTTGAGTAACAACCCAACAAACAATGAACTACCGGGAAGTAATTGGCCCAATGCTTTCTTTGCTGGGGGAATGACTTCAGCGGCAAAAATCTGTTGGCCTTTCACATTCTTGTAGTCACTTTGCCAGTGAAGGAAATAAGTATTGGCCCTTCATCGTTCTATCGACTTTGGTGTTGCCGGGAAATAAAACAACTTCGTTTACTCGATCTTTTAAAAGGCCAATGCTGGGCATTCAACCTATATGCTCCAGATAACACAGTATGGTCATTGTGAATGTGTATTCTCATTCTCCCAATCATACGAAAGAAAAAACGATGAAAGAATTCATATTCCTCAGAAACCTGAAATATATGTTCCAAGAATTTTTTCATATTTGAGGATAATCATAATATGGGATTATTATAGGATCATAAGATCATTTCAATAAAGTCGTGAGTATGATCTACAGATATTTGGGATTTTTTTACACATGACTCAAAACATTGATGAGTATAGGTATGATATCTGCGTTATTGATTTTCTACTTTGAAGAACGTTTAATGAAGAATGCTTCTTTCCGCAAAATTAATAATAAAATAGTTTGCCATATGAATCGATCAGAACCTATTGTAAGAAATAATAATACATGATTCTCATCGTGAATAGATCTTATCAGATATTTGAACGTAGTTTTCCGTAGTTTTCAATTCTAGTCAACTTTTTTTATGATAATAATTTTCGATATTATCGAAAACAAAAACGTTACATTATTTACACTTGAACAAGATCTACTTTTTTGACATACCTCGTATACGACTGACAAAAATCGATATCTGAAAAAGCTTTTGATTTATTGTCAAGTTTTTCAGACATACTGTATATTTTCCTAGAGTGATCCAAGATTATCCGAATGGAATAATATAATGGATATTTCTCTCAGAATTAGTTGAAATATTATCATCAAAATATATCAGTCTTAAATATTCTCTTATCCGTTTCGATTCGTTCACATCTCACCGATACTCACTACATGTGTTAAAAGATACTAATACGAGCAGCTAGTCATGTTCTCATAGAGATATTCCAACGATAAAGTCGTTGCAAAAAGACGACTGAATGGATAGGACACCTGGAGAATGGACCATCAGGGCTACCAAGTTACGAAAATATATGAGGTCAACCTCCAAAATGAAGATCTTATCAGATCGCAGTCTCATCATCCAAAGTCGAGATATTTTTTATACTTCGTTCCTATGCCAGTATGGGGATTTGGATGCCCATCAATGGAATGAATGCCGGCTGATTGACCGTCGGGAAACCGTCGGCCAGAGTGTCCTTTTCTTGATGGCCCCGTACTAACGCTAGTCATTTTGCCGCAACATCTAGTTATGGAAGCAATGTATTGGGCCTTCAGTTTACCGCAAATGAATGTTTGCTGGGAAATTATCATGATGAAAAATATGGTCTACTTATCATTTTTCTTCATTTTTCCTCAAATCTCAGACACTGGTACTGGTTTTGAAAAAAAAAATACCGCAGGACTTCATTCTCTGATCACATATTTCAGAAAAAAATAATAATTGTTTTTTTTTGGTCTTTTATGATGACGAAAATCAGAAGAGTGTACTTTAAGTGATCCTGATTCAGATTCCATCATTATTTTTAGTGAAAAATAAGTCCCTAATAGTACTTTTTTGAAATATGGGTTAATAAAACTGGTCGAAGTTGGCCAACGATAACAGTTCAAAAATAGAATCACTTTCTTGTTGGATGGACATTTCAGATATCTATCCAACAAAAAAAAGTTTTCCGAAATCGATCTGATAATATCGATTCTGCAGGCGTGGTAATAAGTTCTTAGAGTAGGGGGGGTATATATCGGTTTATACATTTATATATATCATTTGAATCAAGAATTCAGAATAACATTGAAGTGACATCAGGAACAAAAACATCGATATGGAGAGTTATATTGGATCGTGATTTTATACGAGGTACATTGAAACAGACAAGTTAATTTGTTCATGTACCTATATATTTATATTTATATGCAAATTAGTTCTACAATTTTCCGATGAATTTTTGAGGAAATAATTTCGTTTCATTGGGTAGTGATTCATAAGAATAACGACCTTTCTGATCGGTTATAATCCATGCTTCTAGAAGCTTAGTATTGTCAAATTTGACTGTGAACACTGCAGTACTATAGTTATCAGCGCCCCAACAACAATAAATAGTTTTCGTTAAAAGCATATTCGATGAGCCTATGGGATGTCTCGTTTCACTCGCTGCTTCCTGAGATTATTGAATTTTCTTCGATGAAGAACTCCAGTTTCTGCTCCCTACGAGGAGAATAACTAATGCTTAAATATTTTAGGTATTTTCCACACAAAAGAGGAATGCGAGTCGTTCAAGAAAGCGAGTATAAATGGAACAGCTCTAGCAGAAAATAATCAAGTCATATTTCCACTACGTTGTTTATTTTTGAAGAAATATAAACCAGAAGTTTGGAAACACATTATGGAATTAGAAGCTCACTTAGAAAATAGAAGGGATAACCCAATTTGGCGACGACACAAAATTGCTGTAGAACAGAATTTGAGGTGAAAAGTACATGCGAATATTCCGTTTGTTATGATAGAATCTCAAATTTTTCACAAAATAGTTCAACAACTCTCTACCAAGAATCGTTTGTCCATAGAACGGCACAGATTTAGAACTGTTTGCCTAGGGAAGTATTCCTAAGAAAAGCCCAAGAGCTGCCTAGCTACATCCAAAAGCTCGAAAAATTCCAATAACCCTACCTTCTCTTCCTATCGCCCCTATATAGGCGAGTGCTATAGGGATTCCCTTCTGTATGCTGTGACACTTATTTATGAAATATAGGAAGTTTTGGGGAATAACTTAATCTCAGATTTTTTCAGATCGTTACATCTGGTGGTGGACGTATCGCCTGATACTATAGCCATCAGTTCCGGCGTTTCAAAAGGATCAATTTTGGCACCAACATTGTTCCTACTTCATATCAATGGTCCGTTAGAAGTAACCGTCTGGTATCCGTAGCTCGTCGATCTAATTGAAAACCTAGTAGGCGACCTAGTGCGATAGCTCTCGCCTACTAACTACCTAACTAGGTTGTCACCTCTCATCAGTGCAGTGAGCGTAGCCAAGCCAAACAAAAGTCAAGTGGCATTATATTCCCTCAGATGCGTCCTCCATAGACAATATGATAGCAACGCGATCTGAGTAGAAAAGAAGGAGATATACATTCCAACACCCAAATTCCCAGTGATTGGTTGCCCGACTGGAGTAATATGTTGAATAGACACAAAAAGCTCAAAGTCATTTCCACACAATGTTCTACGCTCAGTCGGCGGCCTTATTATGACAGCGGGCTGGAGACTGCCCTGTAATGATGAGTCAAAGAGCTCAAATCCGGTCTGTAGGTGTCTAGCATCGCCTGGCTAAATCGAAATCAATGGGCATTCAGGAAGGAATCACTTGTATCAGTATTCGTTTATACGAGGCGATGCATAGATTTCGGGAGGATGTAATCCAATGTTTTGCGTGGCATATAGACAAGAAAGTAGTTGTTTTTTTCCCTGAATTGTTTTACATTTTATGATCATTGTGTGGAAATGACTTTGAGCTTTTTGTATTTATTCAACATTTCATTCCACTTTGATCATTGTGGCTATTTCGTAGTTGATCTATAGAAAAGTGAAAGACCGACCTTTCTACGTTATTCCAATGATGTCAATGGGTTAGTGAGTGTGGCATCACCCACCAGGCGAATGGCTCTTCTCTGGATGGAATCTGAGAGCAACAGCGTATGTTTGGGTGCTGAGCCCCATATGTTGGAACAATATTCTAGAACAGGCCCAATCTGTTCTTTGTAGATCATTAGAGGCTGTTGAGGTGTGAAGTAGCTTTTCGCACGAAAAAAAAAGTTTTTATGAAGCAGCTTTCGCAATGGATATGATATGATTATACCACAAGAGAGTATCACTGATGGAAATACCGAGTATAGGTATAGTGGGGATGGTGGTACGAGACATTGTTATGTCAGGCATACTGAGTTTTGCCTTCCTGGAGAAAATACTGTCTTGAGCTTTGGTGGCTTGCATTCGACTAGGTTGTTGGTTCACCAGGCTGTGATTTCAGCAAGATCTTCATTGACAGCATCGACCTGCCTTCGCCGTGAACACTTAGTTTCCTGGGAAGAAATGGGAATTCTGGAAAATAACGCAATATAAAAACACTATTGGTGTCAAAATTGATTTTTGTGGATCACTGGAATGGATGGCAAAGGTTTCCTGGGGGAAATGGGAATTCTGAAAGATAACCCAGTGTGGAGAGAACTATCATCTGCAAAGCTGTGGATTTGGCAAGTTGTCATTGATATGAAGTCAGATCGATGTTGGTGCCGAAATTGATCCTTGTGGAACGCCGAAATTTATGGCAAAAGTATCGGACGATACACCATCCACTACCACGTGAAGCGATCTACCTGAAAGAAAACTCGATAAGAGATGGCATAGCTGAGGTGGTAAGCTGTATGATGGTAATTTGTGAAGAAGTCCATAGTGCCGAACACGGTCGAATGCTTTCGATATGTCAAATGCCACAGCTAGAGATTTTCCGTGTTTTTCATCTGAAGCTTGCCATATATGTATGGTGACGTAGGCAAGTTGATCTCCAGTTAATCTTCGGTGCTTTAATCATAGAGTAACCCTCAACAGACTCGAAAAATATAACGCAAAATAGAACTTTCAGGTTCTCAAGTTCCATCTTCCCTCGCTACCAAAACCTATGAATAATATGAAGATGGTGAACAGCACTTTATCAAAACTCCTTCATCCATATAGAACGGCTAGGCTCTGGAATTCATTGCCTCAGGAAGTATTCCCAATAACATATAATCTCCAGAAGTTCAAAAAAATTCCAATTCCTACCTCCTGTTCCTATCCTCCTTAGGAACGCACGATGTTATTTGAACATTATAGGGATTTCCTTTCGTGCGCTCCAAGCGATAAAAAGAAATGGTGGTCATGGAGAGGTCGTCCTAGTTGAAGTTTTTCTAGGACGTGTCTCATTAATTGGCACTGAAATAATGAGAAACTAATAGTAGATAACAAGTTGAAAATCTATATCGGAATCAATATTTATATCATTTGATAGGTACCTAAATGATACTATTCTATATTATCTGCAGACATATGAATTTATTATCTGAAGAGGATATTGCATCAGAGATGGTGCAGAAAATTTGTGGCATATTGGATGTCAATACTTTTGAATTGAGACCACGCCAAAATAAAGAGCCAGCAATGTTAAGTCCTGGAACACATCACTGCTTGAGAGGTAATCATTTGATTTATCAAAGAGTTGGTGACCTATTCCTTTGGTGGATATATTATTCTCGATCTCATATCTTTTTATTGATTTTTATCGATTTTAAGGTCTCTATTCCAAGGCAGCACTTATGGCCCATGATTGCACTGGTAATACCTTGTTATCTGTCGACGATGATTTCGTTCTCACTATCAAGGCTAGTATAGATATTCAAAAAGATGGCCCAATACTTTTCAGCTACGCCAATGTCTTAAATGTAAGTATTCAATAGATGATTGTTCAACAAATACACTCAGTTCCAAAAAAAGTGACGCACTTGATATTTGACCTATCTTCTTGAAAAAAAAAATAGTAGGCCGATTTTCGATTTTTTTTTATTTGTTGGTAGGTAATGCATTTGTCTTTTGAAAAAAATAAAGAAGTGAACATTTTTTCGAAGCCTCCTTGATGGTGATGGAATAACTCGAACCATGATTTATTCTTAATTTTTGACTAACCCTGTGTGTTAATTGAGTGATGGCATAGAAAGTGCTTACACCCTAAACAAAAGAAGCTCCTTTTGCGAGCATTTTGTTTTTTTATTCATTGATTTATCTCTAAAATTTTCCGAATTACAGCTTTTTTTGCTGAATCCTTGCAGATTACCAACTTTCTGAATTTATCGAGAAACAATTTTCTAATGAAATAAACTGATCTCTGCTGATACCAATAAATTTAAAAAACATTTTTATTAAACACGAAATTATAAATTGGGATGACTGCTTAATATCGTGTATTGCCTCCTCTAGCAACTTTAAGAACTTCTAATCTACGAGGCATACTGGATATTGAGTTGCTTATCGTTTCTGTTCGATGCTCTTGGTGATGAGTGTGGACTGTATTTCGATCGTTGAATAAAAACTGATATGATATGAAGAATAAAAGGGGAATTGCAACCGATCCCAACTTTATTGATTCCATCTTATGTTTCAACAACACGTCGTCATGATAACAACAAATGAAATCCTATCCTATATAGGGTAATACCACTAGCAACTACCATTATACAGGATCATACAGGTAAAGTACTGGACATACATGGTGTCTTAACTACTTGACCTAGATATAACATAAAGGGTGATGTACAAAGTACCAAACATGCCGCCCCCTTGAAAGATTATAACTTTCAAAATACTAAATAAATAATTACATTACAAATATAACAGACAATGAATTATGTGGTACATTCTTCTAAGGGCAATACACATATCTTGTTGACTGGACGTTTCAAGGTACCCTCTTGTGTCTTCAGTGTCACAACCCGAACAACATCGTCCATGCCGGGATGAATTTCAATAATGCGCGCCAATTTCCATAACAATGGCTGCACGAAGTCTTCCTTTATCAAAACTAACTGACCAATCTGCACCTGCTCAGATAAACGTCTCCACTTTGTTCTCTGCTGCAGATGGCAGAGGTATTCTGACGACCAACGTTTCCAGAAGTGCTGGGTAAGCTGTTGAAGCTTCTGATAGTGATTAAGTCGATTTTCTGGTATAATGCATACATCCTCTTGTGGAACAGAAGTCAACATTTCCCCAATCAAGAAATGGCTCGGACACAGAGCAGCTAAATCATTCGGATCACTAGTAAGCGGTGCCAATGGTCTCGAATTGAGCATTGCCTCCACCTGAGTCAGTACAGTATACAATTCTTCATAAGTTAGAGGTACTCTAGATAATATTCTTTTCATATGAAATTTGGCAGATTTTATTGCTGCCTCCCATATTCCACCAAAATTTGGTGCCCGAGGAGGAATGAATTTCCACTCGATTGAATTGTTAAATAAATAATTCTTGAAGGAAATATCATTTTCAAGATTTTTAAAAATGCCTTTCAACTCGTTTGCTGCACCTATATAATTGGTACCATTGTCACTGAATATTTTCCTACATGGGTCATTCTTCAAAACGGGGACAAATTGACAAGGATATTCAATAAGAATGATAAATGTGTCAAAATCGTTCAATATTCATCCAGTTGTCGTATTTGAACATGATATATCTCATATTAAACAGGCCAAGAATTGGATAATTTTTTAATCGATTTAAGCTGAAAAAACTGAAAACTCTTCCCATGGAGTTGACGACCTTGCCCATGGAGTTGACGATTTCATCCATGTAGTCGAAAACATTAACATAAACACAAAATTTCTTTTTTGTTATTACCTAAAAATAAATAACAATCTCATTAGAGTTTTGTTTTGATCATATAAATGTTAAATATTAGTACCTTCATGAAATGAATGAAGATTCCATGGAGTTGACCAACATAAAAATGATGCAGAAAATACTACAAAAACTCCAAATGAAAAACGGTTGAGTCGTCTAAAAATTAAAAACATCGGAAAATTGAGAGAAAAATGAAAAATTTTCCGACTATTTGATCCGAAAAACAGCTTTCATTTCAAAGTATTGCACATTGAAATTGGATCATCTTTGAAGAGGAATCGATTCCTTCGTAATACCTGAGGATTCGCCACTTTCTTGATTATACAATTGGAATTCACCTCAGATAGATCTTCTTCTTGAGGCCAGATGAAAATCAAATTATTCTTGTTATAGGATACTCGTGAAGGTTATTTCATAAATAGCTCCATGAATAGCATTTACTTGACCAATATAATGAATCCTTTTGAGAACTTCTCCACGGGTAATGTTCTTCGAAAATCTCTGCTACCATACCTTCACTAGCAATACCAGTCAGACGAACTAGACAAGCCCAGTCAGCACATCCTTTCGTTGTCAACCTCGAAAGATGTCGAACAGCACTATATCAAAACTCCTTCATCCATAGAACGGCTAGGCTCTGGAATTCATTGCCTGAGGAAGTATTCCCAACAACATATAATCTCTAGAAGTTCAAAAAAGTTTCAATACCTACCTCCTATCCCTATCCTCCCTAGGAACGCACGATGTTCTTTGTGACATTATAGGCATTCCCTTTCGTGCGCTCCAAGCGTTAAAAAAAACAGTTGGCGTCTAACCTCCTTTGATATTTTTTGCCCTTTTGTTAGTTCGGCAACTTTAATTCTCGGAGATTCTCGATTTATTTTGATAGATCGACTTTTCATTCTGTAGTATTTTGTTATTTTTTTTGTATCGTATTGCTTTATTCCTTATGTACATATCTCGCTCTTTTTGGACATCTTTCAGTTTTCTCACTGCCTGGGAACGTTTTTTGAGCTCTCTTTTTCTTCCCGCAGCAGATCTTCCTGATGAGCCTGGAATATTCTCAGGATGTTCATTAAATAAAGCATCCAATCGTGTTGGTGTTGATGATGGAGTAGTTTCTTCTAGGAGCCTATTAAAATTTTTCTGAGTCCTTCATTTTTTTATATATTCTGAAGATGTTTGTCTCCAGCGTTTCCTTATCTGTCTTTTCTGTCTGTCGTTTCTTTCGTTGATTGTTTTGATTTTTCCTGCATTTCTTCGTTTGATGGTATCTTTCACGTTCTTTGCGCTTCGCTTCTTCATATAAATGAGGATCCAGTCTTATTCTTTCTCTCTTTCTTTGCTCAGACTCCCATTTCTGTTTTCTTCGTTTATCTTATGATTTTTCCTTTGTATTTACCATTATTGCTTCAATATACCTACACCGAATAAAAAAATCTGATGAAATATGAAAATATAATGTGAAATAGAATGTGTGCATCGCTTTTTATCACATCCTGTTCAATTGTAATAATCATCTAAACTTGAGTATCATTGAATCTGAGCATATATGTGATGTGGAATTTCAATCGACGCAATTTTCCGAAGTGAAACAACTCCATGGACTTGTTGTTCAACTCCATGGACATCTAAATACATGGAGTTGATGTCCATGGAGTTGGTGTTCTGTAGTTAATATTCAAATATTCACACTGCTATTAAACCTGACCTCAAATTATTTCTCATGCATGTAAGACATAATTAGTTATACATTACTAGGCTATTCAACGAATCTGAATGGACTCAGTCTATTTGTGATCAACGACATGGAGTTGATTGTTAATAAAAATACCCACCTTGATTTCTAACTTTGTCTCCAGAATCCCGAATAAATTGCTCAAAGTTAACACGTTTCCCTGACAATCTTCAACTAACTGCTCTTGCTTGAAATGATGACACCTTGAAACATTACTTCAGGTGAACCTATCGGTAGTTCTGACAAAAATAACAGGCGTCCATGGAGTTGAGTTTCAAAATGGTGTCACATATTATTCATAAATTTCACAATAACATTTCGGTGAAACTTCCTCTTTGCTTACACTCTCGTCATTGTTGAATCCCTTGAGAATATATTAACTGAAAAATAGTTTCATAATAGGGTTTATTTAGGGGTTTTTGATTGATTCCATTTCACTCATAGCAGCTGGTTACAGTCCATGGAGGTGATTTCAAAGGAGTTTTTGCTTATAAAAATGGAAGAACATATGATTTTTTTCGATCTTTTTTCAACTCATGTGAAGCACAAGTCATAAGCTATCATCTCCAATGTTCTTCAAGTTTCAACCTATTTCCTATATATTTTTCACATATGAGTTACATCATATTGTCCCCGTTTTGGAGAATGACCCACATATACCACGTCTGGAAACAAATCTTTTGAGAGCGTTTAAAAATGCAGCCGTAGTATACTCTGTAACTAATTCAATATGAACAGCTTTTGTAGCAAAACAAATAAAAATACACACATAACATTTTATCAGTTTACGATTTCTGGTTTTTCCATCTTTTAGCAAAAATGGCCCAGTATAATCCGTTCCGACTATAAGAAACGGCCTCGAAGGCTTGACCCTATTTTCTGGAAGATCACCCATCAAATTTTGACTACTTAATGGTCGTGCCTTGAAACAAATTATACATTTGCGTAAAATTTTCCGAATCGTATTACGACCGTTTAACGGCCAATACCTTTGTCTAACAGCCACTAAAGTTGTCTGATTTCCAGCATGTAAATGTCTGATATGTTCATATTCTATAACCAATTTTGTGAACAAGTGATTACTCGGTAGAACTATTGGATGTTTATGGTAAATGTTAAGATTAGATTTTATCAATCTTCCCCCTACTCTGAGTATTCCGTGATTATCCACGAATGGATTAAGACTTAATAATTTGCTCTGATGAGGAATCTGATTCCCGTTTTTTAAAAAATCAATTTCTTGATGAAATTCCCCTTGTACTATTTTCAAAAGAGCCCTTGTAGCATTTTCAATTTCAGAAATCTTCA